AAAAAAAAAACAGAACATATGAAATATAGCCTTCATCAAATTGTAGGAAAGGCATCACAATCATAACAGGCCGCTGAGTGAAACAATGGAATCTAATGTGGTTTGAACGAAAGCATCCATGTAATTTAAACCATTTTTCCCACAGTCTGAGCTGATTCTTCATGATTTATTTTCAACATCAATTTGTTTTCCCTTTTTTCCTGCATGTAAATAGTAAAAAAAAAAAAAGAAAGAGAGAATTTTAGAACCAATGCTGATAATCTCACGTTGGCCATTTGAAAATAACAACACATTTTTTCTAATGTAAATCAGTGCCTACAGAATTGGATCCATACTGCTTCAGCTCTAATGAGTCCAGTGAGCTCCATCATTAGAGGAGAAGGCTGAGAATGAAGGATGTTTGATGACTTCTATCCGCTGTAGTCATGGCTTTGGAGAAAAACAGCAACGGATCTGATAATTAACTGTCCATCTCTAGAACTAAGATAAATAGCCAGTGATTGCACATCCTGTTGGTTTCCATGCTTTTACACAATTAAAGCATCGTCTTTAGCTTTACAAAAAAAATAAATAAATAAAAAAAGGGAAGCTCCAAATGAGAACGTTTATAAAAAGYCCACACTAAAGAAAACTCTGAAATAGCAAATTAACCTCTGTCATGAGAGGAGTTCAGGGTACAATGAAGCAGTGTCAACACATTCTGCTGCAGGGTTTTACTCTGATCAGGCCCACACCCTCCACAGGATAAAGATTTGATCCTGTTCTGTGTGGACAGCAAACGCAATCATTCAGGTTTTTATATGCTGCATAAAAGCAATAATGTAGGGGAGACCGGGGACAGTAGCAACACATCATTTTTTTCTCCAAACAGAAACAAGCTAGAGTGATGACACTCACACTGTACATGCTCAGTTAGATGCCCCACCTTGCAAAGAAAAAGTAAACAGATTCAAAAAGTGCTCCAGGATTTATTTGAAAAAAAAAAAAAAACAGTTTTTGAGGAACCAAAGTATTTATTTTGCCCAGCTTTATTTTTTTTATACTGTTGTCACTGTTTTGGTGATCCAGCTCAAACTTATTTGGTTTAAACTCGTGATATGTTGACTTTTAACTAATATAGTTAACATGTATCAAGATCAGTTTATTTAGCTAACACGTGAGGTTTTATCATAGTTGACAGGAAGGGGGACAGTTGCAACAGCTGTTGCAACTGTCCCCATACGATAAATCCATATAAAAACAGAGCACATACAGATGATATTAAGATGTTGAAATTAAGTTTACACTTAAAAGAGTATTGGGTATTCATGACAATTACGTATATAGTTTAAAACATAAAAGTGTTTAAGATGTATTTTCTGCAGTTGTTGTTTTCAGCAATGGTTTTAAAATCTGTTTCTTTCAATGTAAATGTTGCATAATGTAGGCGTACAGTGACAATAGATAAAACAAAAGTTAATTGCCTCACAAATTGTTCTGTTATCCTTGTCTCTAAAAGCCAACTGTATTTTATATGATTTTATTCTTTGACATCTGAATGTAAGGTTTACTCATCAAGGCAAATCTATGTTCGTCATTTGATCAAAAAGAATAAATAAATAACACTGTAATATCATTATAACTTACAGTTTTTATTAAGTTAGCAATAATATAAATATAAAAATAATAAAACTTTTATTTATAGTGAAATATATTGTATTAATAATATGTTGTAAACACCCCCAGAAAATTTTGCAACTGTCGTTGGACCTGGGGTCAATTGCAATATCTGACTTTTCATTTTCAAATGCAAATTGTGMAGAATGTTTATTCATATAAATGGTTTTGACTATTAACAGACAAATGTAAGTTTACAGATGTAAGTTTATTACATTAAAATTTGATTTGTCTAATTCAAACCGTCTCTGAGTAACAGAGTCAAACGCAAAAAGTGTTGCAACTGTCCCCGGTCTGCCCTACTTGCCTGTCTGTTATCAGAAACCTCTCTTCTCTGGATGAGCTTTAGTGACCAAAAAGGCTACAACTCTATCATTTCTCAATATAAAAATTTTAATTTAAAAAAAGGTTTTGTTTGATTTTTACATTTTACATGAATGTTTCGTAGACGCACACACGTTTCTACAATACAAAAGTGGTTTTCTTTATAGTTTGAAAACAGTTTTTCTCCCTGCCTTTTTAGAATTCCCTCACATTCTTTACAGAAATGGGTTGTTTCATTAAAAGATAAGCAAAGCTGCTGGATTCTTTTCAGATGAAAGGCTTCCAATTGTTTTGCAGAGTTACTCAAAGAAGGTCAGGACAATAGACAATCATGAACAGAGAGTCAGGAGGCGACCATCAGATTGTATCTTTCCCAGCCACCAGCCTGCAAACTGAAACAAGCACATTGTGTGCTTCGTGAATAACTTCTTTTATGCCTCTACTCTGATAAAAACTGCAGTCATCATGAAAACCAAAAGACATTGAAACATATAAACTAAAACACTTAAAAAATACAATTTGAATTATTTATAACAATTTCAATAAAGTTAGATAAGTTTAGGACATAAATACTGCATGGGTAATAAAAAAATAACACATTTCTCTCAGTGACTCAATAGAAACAAATACAAAAAAAAGTGCTTTTTGATTATTCCACTTTGACATGTCTTCTTAAATTAAATTATATTATTCAGCAGGTTTGGGCGTGATCGATTCAAAGTGCAAATATAAAGTTTATAAAAGGTGAGTTTCTTGTTTCCACCGTGGACTGGAAAGGCACTTTGTTCTTCTTCTTTGGTGACGGAAGCTTCATCAGGCCGGCGCAGCTCCAACTGCAAAGCTGGTTGGGACAAGAAATTAYATGAAAATGTTTTAGTTTGAGTTTTATTTGCAAATGAAAATCAACAGCATTTTTTTAAACGTTGGTTTCAGTACAAGAAATCAAATTAACAGTTCTACAAAAATGTTGAAACATGTTTATGGGGTATTTTTTATGATTTTTGGTAACAAATGGTGAAATAATTGGATACCTGAACGAGGAAGGCAATCTAAAGGTTTTGGAACTGTAATAACTCCGGCTTCAGGTCTTCTCTGGTGTCATACGAGCTATGGTGTCATGAAATGAGGAATTTGTTGGAGAATTACTGAATTTTGTTAATTTATTGTTAAAAGTTTAGCAGTTTACCAAACAGTGTTTAGTGCATTTTCAATGAGCATATCAGAAAGTTTGGCATCAGTCAGTAAAWTTCAGGCTTTTTAGTGTTTAATCTTTGTAATTAAGCAATACAGCGGGTAAAATAAGTATTGAACACCAACATTTTTCTCAGTAAATATATTACTAGAGGTGCTAATGACATGAAATTTTCACCAGATGTTGGTAACAACCCAAGTGATCCATACATACAAAGAAATCAAACCATAAATGTCCAGAAATAAAGTTATTTATAATAATGTGGAATGGCACAGGGAAAAAGTATTGAACACATGAAGAAAGGGAGGTGTAAAAAGGCATGGAAAGCCAAGACACCAGCTGAACTCTCTCAGTAATTAGAAAGCAAGCCTGCCCCTTGTCAGTGCAAGTTAATATCAGCTGGTTCAGTCCCAAATGATGGCCAGGTATCACACAAGAACCATCTGATGATGAGTAAAAGTAAAGAGCTCTCTCAAGACCTTCACAACCTTATTGTTGCAAAGYATAATGATGGCATCGGTTACAGAAGAATGTCTAAACTTCTGAAGGTTCCAGTGAGCACTGTTGGGGCCATAATTCAGAAGTGGAAAGAACATCATTTCACCATAAACCGACCACGACCAGGTGCTCCTCACAAGATTTCTGACAGAGGAGTGAAAAGAATTATCAGAAGAGTTGTCCAAGAGCCAAGGATCACTTGTGGAGAGCTTCAGAAAGACCTGGAATTAGCAGGTACGTTTGTTTCAAAGAAAACAATAAGTAATGCACTGAACCACCATGGCCTGTATGCACGCTCACCACGCAAGACTCCACTGCTGAAGAAACAGCATGTTGAAGCTCCTTTAAAGTTTGCTGCACAACATTTAAACAAGCCTGTGTAATACTGGGAGAATATAGTCTGGTCAGATGAGACCAACATTGAACTGTTTGGATGCCAGAATCCACATCATGTCTGGAGGTCAAATGGCACTGCACATCAGCCCAAAAACACCATACCAACAGTGAAGTTTGGAGGTGGGAACATCATGGTGTGGGGCTGTTTTTCAGCATATGGTACTGGCAAACTTCAAATAATTGAAGGAAGGATGAATGGAAAAATGTACAGAGACATTCTTGATAAAAATCTGCTTCCATCTACCAGGATGATGAAGATGAAACGTGGCTGGACATTTCAGCAAGACAATGAGCCCAAACACAAAGTCAAGGAAACTCTCAGCTGGTTTCAGAGAAAGAAACTAAAGCTGCTGGAATGGCCCAGCCAATCACCTGACCTGAATCCAACAGAAAATCTATGGAAAGAACTAAAGATCAGAGTTCATAGAAGAGGTCCTCGAAACCTTCAAGATTTGAAGACTGTTTGTGTGGAAGAATGGGCCAAAATCACACCTGAGCAATGCATGCCACTAGTTTCTCCATACAGGAGGYRTCTTGAAGCTGTCATTGACAACAAAGGCTTTTGTACAAAGTATTAGATAAATTTCAGTAAGTGTGTTCAATACTTTTTCCCTGTGCCATTCCACATTATTACAAATAACTTCATTTCTGGACATTTATGGTTTGATTTCTTTGTATGTATGGATCACTTGGGTTGTTACCAACATCTGGTGAAAATTTCATGTCATTAGCACCTCTAGTAATATATTTACTGAGAAAAATGGTGACGTGTTCAATACTTATTTTACCTGCTGTATGTAAAGCTTGCACATTGAATTAATACAGTAATGGAGATATTTATATTTAAATTTGGTCTATGTCTGAACCAGAATGGTTTTATTAAATAATAATTCCATTCTTTAACTTGCCCAAATAAAATACTAAAATGGGAACTTCAGAAATTACCAACATGTTACTTGCTTTTTTTCTTCCCACTTTTAATATTATTACTTTATTTAAAGATTTGTTTGACCAGAAAACGTTTTCTAAAAAAAAATTCAGTGGTTAATCTGAAAGTGAAGTTTGCTTCAGTGCAAGATTTATTGCCAGGAATGRAGACGAACGTCTGAAAACAACAACATGCAAATAAGTGGAATGTGCACTCATGCTCTGAGCACAGCAGCAGGATAAACAGCAGGATCATATCCTGTATGAGTGCAGAAAGTCATTTAGTCTCTTACCCTTTCCTCTTCTGTTGACACTTGCATAAAAAGAACAAAACTACTCCAAGAACTGCAACTAAAATAAAGATAAAATATCATTTACATACGTTGTGTTTCAACCATAGAAGTGATTTATAGAAACTCTAAAAAGAAAGATCATATATTACCTAATGAAACAAATGTCACAGCAAGTATAAGAGCTGAAAAATGAGAATAAAACACAGTCAGAAATCTCACGACCAACATTAACTGCAGCCAACCTGGAACAGTKACTCACCAGTATTTTTGCTGGGGTTTACAGCTTCATATTCCCCCTCTGCAAAGATAAAACATTATCATTAGTCACCAAACAAATTCAATTATGATAAAATACATGACTGAGTCCTCATCATCAACACAACATTTAAAAAAAAAGACTGTTCTGGACACAGAATATTTCAAATTGTTCTTGATACATATGTTTGTAAGTAAAATGTCAAATATTAAAACTGAAAACAGCAATCTGAGAGGTGAGCTTAGTGCTGTTTTTACAGCTGTAAAAAATACTTCAGAAAAATACTGCTTCAAACCCTTTCATATGAAGCTAAAGGACATTAGCATAGGACAGGAAGTCAAGACAAAAACATCAAAACTTAACAAAACAAAACAGTCKTGTTTTTTGGATTGTGGTAGGATGTGTTAAGTCTGTGTTTGTTTTTGATTTCCTGTGACTCAGAAACAAAAATACAGTTAACAACTAAATCAAACGGTAATCTATTAGTTCTAATCTATTAGTTCTAATCTATTAGTTCTAATCTATTAGTTATAATCTATTAGTTCTAATCTATTAGTTATTATTTGTTAAAGGGGTAACTATATGATTAATCATTAAATTAAGAGACTAATATGCCAAAATAAGCGATGTATCATTATAGTTTCAGCTGAATGCTGAAGAAAAAAAATTAATGGATGTTAGAGAATTACATTTTACTCTGTAAATAATATTTTAGTACAGAAGTCGTGTTTATTGCTGGGATGTCCACAACAGCTCCATCCCTGTGTGAACGNTTTTAGTACAGAAGTCGTGTTTATTGCTGGGATGTCCACAACAGCTCCATCCCTGTGTGAACGCTGAGTCAGCGTTCACACTATTGGTTTCCTGCTTTTGTTCCCCTGTACGGTTGTGGCAATACAACTTAAATTGGCTAAAAAAAAAAAAAACACACAAATGTTGCAGAATTTTTCGAGATTTTTTCTCAGAATTCTGCCTGACCCACCAGCTCTTTTTATTCATTTATTTTTATCATTGATTTATTTTCTTTGTATTTACAAAGCCTTTGAGCACTTAAGGCAGGCATTATGTCCTCTGGCGGTGCTGTAGCACCCTCTGCACCCACACTTCTTCGCACAGCTTTAGTGTCAAACAGAAAAAGTCTGGACACCGCTGAATGAAGACGGTAAACTGGATGCTACTGAAGCTGTTTTATCCTCAGCTGTCGGGAACTTTCCGCTCCCTTTCGAACAAAGCGATCACTTTTTAATGTCTCACTCAGAACGCTGATGTTGTGTATTTGAAGTGTGACCCGCATGCAGCATGCATATGTGATGGCGGCGCCGCAGCACGCTGTAGCCAAAGGCTCCGGGTGAACGTGGATCTGTACCTCGTTCCGATGCGGAGACGGCTGCAGACGTTCTGGCTGTGAACGTTGTGGCTCTGTGAGTTGTAGTTGTGATGGACGAAGTCCTAGCAGGAAGTGTTTCTGTGATACGAAACACAACCATTGTCGTCATGCACATGGGAAATTAAGAGTGTTTGTAGTGAGAGAGAGAGAGAAAAAATACAAGACTTTTCAAGACTTCTGTTTTTTTTTCTTGTCTTGTGTTTTTGGTTGCTAATAAATACCTGGTTCTGATGATGGAGGAGCTGAAGTTACCATTTTTGTTGTAACTCTATCTTCTGTTGTCACACCTATGAATGAGGACACTGCTACATTTATCTGAGCTCAAAATGGATACGGTTCATTAGTGTTTAATGGAACTGGAGGTGGGGCATGCAGTAAACCTGACATGCAGAATGTGCCGTGCTGACGACTGTCATGCATCATGCATTTGCTCCCTCATTTATTTCTCATTAAAATTCTCCATTTATTTATTTTTTTAATCTCTTGTTGATATTCCGTGCTCAGACATTGCGGTAGTGAGTGATCATTTTAACTGCTGCTTTAAGGCGAAGGCGACTGAGTCAACACACTTTTAGGTGGTCAAGGGTGGAGTGGGTGATACAAACCACAGGGTTAGCCCAGATGTAATCAGTTGGGGCTAAAACACAGAAACTGTGTTTTTTTTAGGGGGCAAGTATCTCTGGTGGAGCCAAGGCCTGCTGCGCTCTATATACACCGTCTTCAACAACAACAATAACGTGTTTTAAAATACTTTAGTTTCATTAAAGATTGCTTATGATCTTATTAAACCTTTAAAACTACATCAAACTGCAGCAGAGTCACATCACACTCAGGTTTGTATTAATGTTTTCACTGTAAAATGTGTTTTTATGAACACACAGGGTTAGTATACTAAATAGTTCATTTCTACTCATAACTAAATACTAAACCAGGGCTACTCAACTAAATCCCTCCGGGGGCCGGGGTTACTTAAAGCCCACATTAAATGCTTTTTAAATTTATTTTGTTGCATTGAAACATAAATTTTAAATCTACAAATGACTTGAAATCTATTTTTATTAGGGATGCAATGATATGAAAATTTCAGCCAATATCGATATCCGATATAATTATTGCTGTTATGGCCGATAACCGATATTTACCTGTATTACACAAACACACCAATTATTTATAGACATATATGCACAAACACACGTGTCTTTTTTCGATACCGTTAATTAGGGTTGGGCATAATCGTATCGTGTGCAATTAATAGTCAGAAAAGCATTAATTTATTATTTTTTGACACTTGACAATTAATACGATTAATGCCACCAGGCAGATTGACTGGACATATCCCCGGTCGGTTTGCTCGGTGCTACTCTCCACTTCAAATATGACAAACATAAAAAAAATCCGTAATTAATTTATCTATCAACACAATTTAAAAATTTGATGTGTAGCGCAAAGTCTGTAATTTTGACAATTTGGAACAGACTTTTACGAAGAGCAAATCTTTCCCACTAAATTGGTCATGTGACCAGGACATAAGGGTGTCCAGGGACTCCAGGGGATTAATTGTCAAATTAATCGTTCTCGGTTAAAAACCACAATTAATCGTGATTAAATTTTTTTTGCCGATATCGCTCAACCCTACAGTTAATAAATGACCAGACCTCTGACATGGCTCTACTTCAGTTATTCCTGGTTGCGCAGCGTCAATATCACTATCACGATCAAACAAATACCACTTGACCAAACATTTCGCCTTTCAAAACAGAAACTAAAGTAAAAAAATGGGAAATCAATTTCGGACGTTAATATCGGCCCAGTTTTACACATCGGTCCGATAACAAAATTCTAAAAAATGGCCAATATCGGCAGATACTGATGTTAATGCTGATATACCATGCATCCCTAATTTTTATATTAAAATAAGCTAAGAGAAAAAAAAAGAAAATACAAAAAATTGGTGGGCCGGACGGAAGTCACTCGCGGCCCAGATGTGGCTCGCGGGCCGCCAGTTGAACAGTCCTGTACTAACTACTGTTCACWGCAGGTGAACAAAACAAAAACAGGTTTTTACTGAATGACACAGTTTAAGCTAATATTTCCCATTTGACTTAAAGTAATGATGTCATAATTCCATTTAGTGTCATTACCACTGTTGTGTAACTRAAAGTACTGACCAACAAACTAGAAACGGTCTTTCCATGAAAACAAACTATTTTATAAAGAACTGAGAAAAAAAATGCTGATGAAGTTAGTTTTTCTCGTAAGATGGAACACAAAGCAGTGAAATGAAAGGTTGAGCTATCCGAATACATCCACAGTATTTACAGAAAATACGCACACACACAATAAACTTGTGGCAGAACGACACATTAGGTTTTGTCAACATTAGCTGATGAGCCTTCAGGAAAAAGGTACCTTGGCATTCAGGAGGTGGAGAATCATATTGACCAGTTTTGCTGCACGTGATGCTGGCGTTGCCACGGAGGGTGTATCCATCGGCACAGCTGTAGTTAACAAATTGTTTGTATTCTGGGTTTTTCTCAGAAATCCAGGAGCTTCTGCCATTGGCCACTTGAAGAGGTTTGTTACATGTAACAACTAATATCAATGAAGTGAGGGAGAGAGAGAGAAAAAAAATTACAAATACTTTACATTTTTGGAAAAAAATAAATCAGATAATGCTGCTATGTTTTAACAGTGCCTCGTCAGAGATGCAAAAGAGCATAAAAACACAATTTTTTAGTAGAATGAAAACAAAATTTTTACATGAGTTTGGCAAAAACAAAACCTGAGATACTTACTGTCACACTGTCCTGATCCAAACCATCCTGTGGCAATGCATTGCCTATAGCTYGTTCCATTAATCCTGTAACTGCAAATAAATAAAGATTTATAAAGATGATAAAAATGCTGACTCGATTAATTTATTTGGTAAAACGATAAAAGTTAAATAGTTGAAAAAATATGAAGTTGATGTTTGAGGGGTTAATTAAAAAAAATTTTGTTAAGCTGATGAGGGTGTAGAATTATACAGTATGTACACACACACACACA